GCCTGGTCCTGGCTCCAGACTGACTTTGGGGTGCCTCCAAATTCATTCTTCTCTGTCTCTGCCTGTCAAGTTGGCCACTGTCTCCCCTGATGCCCAATTGACCTGTTCAGCATCCTGGAGGCCTCCCGAATTCACTCTGTCTCCTCTATCAGACTGCCTTGGAACAAGGCCCTACCATCCTGCCTCTGGAAGCCCTCCCCACCCCCGCCCAGGTCTGCAGGCCTGTCCTGGGGGGAGCCTGGGTGGTCCCCTCTTGCCCACTGGCCCATCCTTCTCTGTCCCTTCCAGACTTTTCTCCTGCGGGTGGCCACAGAAATTAACGGGAGCTGGAGGCACTGACCAGTTCCCATGTGTTCAGAGCAGGGCTGCCCGAACGTGGAGGCGACCCCTAGGTCTTGGCCTGGGCTCCGCAGCGTGGATGCACACTGGTCTCACCGACACCAGGGCCCACACTGACTCTTACCCCGCACCCCCTCTCCCCCCGCGGCCGCACACACTGGGCTCTCTCCCAGGCCCCACTCGCGGCAGGGCTCGGCATGCACACTCACTGGAGGCTCCAGGGCTGGTTTGCAGGTGCCCTTCTCCTCCTGGAACTTCACAAGCGCCCTCCACAGCGGCTCCAGTCAACAACCCCCACCCCCACTTCACCCGACTTCAGCCCGCACCCCCACCCCTACCCCCATTCCCGCAAACATCCCTCAGGACTCTCCCCTAAAACCCTTTTCCTATGCCCTGCCGGCCGAGTCCATAACTTGCCCCCTGACTCCTAACTGACTTCCCAGTGTGTTGAACCCCACCAGATGTGTCCTTGCTCTCCCCCAACCCACGTGTCACTAGTATGGAGGGTGTCCCCAGCCATCTCCTCTGTGAGGTCCCGTGTTCTGTGTCCCCTCCAGTTTTCTCTCCTGCAGGTGGCAGGAGGCAGCCACACAATTCAGAGTGGCTGTCAGCTAGGAAATGGCCTGGAAAGTGCCAGCGGTGGTCGGGATGACTCTCTGGTCCTCTGCCCGGCTCCACACCTCCCACACCCATCTCAGGGGCTCCCAGACAGCACACTTGAGCCCCAGGACCCCGAGGTGCTTCTGTGCTCTGCTGGCTGGGCGCCTCCGCTGCCCTTCACGCAGAGGTCCAGCCAGGAGATCCTTGTCCCCACCCCAAACTGATCAGGATCCTGATTCTGCTGCCACTGGGTGGCCCCAGATTAGCACCCTAGCCTTGAGGACAGGGAGGGCGGTCCTTTTGAGCCTCACCAGCCAGGGACTGATTTTCCCCCCAGGGTCTGACTCAGCACCTGCTTTTAGTCTTTGTAGGGGAGAAGTTTTCTGAATTAAGTCTCTCCCATGGGCTTTCATGTTGTGACCTTAAGATAAATCTGGGATCTACCTTGTTCCAGGAGTGTGGGTACCAGTGGGGGATTTAGATTAGCTCAAGGTCATTCCCTAAGTCTGTCTACTGAGATACTTGAAAAAAAATTTTAAACGTTTTTAAATTTATTTTTGAGAGAGAGAGAGAGAGGGAGAGGGAGGGAGGCAAAGTGTGAGTGGAGGAGGGGTAGAGAGAAAGGGAGACACAGAACCTAGAGCAGGCTGCAGGCTCTGAGCTGTCAGCACAGAGCCTGATGTGGGGATCGAACCCACAAACTGTGAGATCACGATCTGAGCTGATCATGCGAGATCTGTGAGATCATGATCGGACTCTTAACTGACTGGCCACCCAGGCACCCCAGTGTTAATTGTTCTTTAAATGTTTGGTAGAATCACCAGTAAAGCTATCTGGTTCTGGACTTTTCTTTGTTGGGAGGTTTTTGATTACTGAATTAATCTCCTTATTCATTATTGGCCTGTTCAGATTTTCTATTTCTTCATGATACAGTCTTGGTAGGTTGTGCGCTTCTGAAAGCGTATCACTTTCATCTAGGCTGTCCAACTTAGTAGTGTGTAATTGTTCACAGTGGGGTCATAATTTTGTTTTGTAATTCTGTGGTCAGTTATAATGTGTCCTCTTTCATTTACAGTTTTATTTACTTGAGACTTTTCTTTTTTTCCCCTTAGTCTAGCTAAAGTTTTGCCAATTTTGTTTATCTTTTTTAAAAACCAGCTCTTTGTTTCATTCATCTTTTCTATTGTTTTGTGTTTGGAAAAGACATGGTGGCTCCCATCTTCCTAAATTAGTTAAGCCTTCTTTTGTGGTCTAACATATGAAGTATCTGAGAAGATGTTTTGTGTGCACTCGAGAAAAAGGTATATTCTACTACCACTGGATGAAGTGTTCTGCATGTCTGTAGGTCCATTTGGATAGCGTTGATCCAATCTGCTGTTTCTTTATTTTCTGTTGGATCTATCCACTGTTGAAAATGAGGAACTAAAGCACCCTACTTTTATTGTATATTGCTGTCTCTTTCTTCTTTCATTTCTGTTAATACTTGTTCTGTGTATTTAGAGACTCTGATGTTAGGTACATATATAATTATTATATTTGCTTGGTGAATTAATCCCATTACCATTGTATAATGACTATTTTGGTCTCTTGTAACAGTTTGTTTGCTTGTTTATTTATTTTGAGAGAGAGAGAGAGAATGAGTGGGGGTGAGGCAGAGAGGGAGGGAGGGAGAGAAAGAATCCCAACCAAGTAGGCTCCATGATGTCAGTGCAGAGCCCGATGCGGGGCTTGAACTCAAGAACCATGAGATCATGACCTGAGCTGAAACCAAGAGTTGGTCATGTAGACTGAGCCACCCAGGTGCCCCTCTTGTAACAGTTTTTGGCCTGAGGTCTACTTTGTCTGATATAGGAATAGCCACTGCTATTCTCTTGCCAATGTTCCATTTACATGAAGTATCTTTTTCTAACCCTTCAATTTCAGCCTATGTGTGTCCTTAAACCTAAAGTATGTCTCTTGTAGGCAGCATATATGTGGATCATGTTTTTGTTTTTTGGTTTTTTTTTTTAGTTTGTTTTGCTTTTGTTTTTGTTTTTTTACCCATTCAGATATTCTATATCTTTTGATTGGGGATTTAATCCATTTATACATAAAGCACTTATTGATAGGTTAGAATGTATTATTGCCCTTTTGTTAACTGTTTCCAGACTTTTAAAAAATAGTTCCTGGGGCGCCTGGGTGGCTCAGTCGGTTAAGCGGCCGACTTCGGCTCAGGTCATGATCTTGCGGTCCGTGAGTTCGAGCCCTGCGTCGGGCTCTGGGCTGATGGCTCAGAGCCTGGAACCTGCTTCCGATTCTGTGTCTCCCTCTCTCTGACCCTCCCCCGTTCATGCTCTGTCTCTCTCTGTCTCAAAAATAAATAAACGTTTAAAAAAAAATAAAAAAAAAATAGTTCCTTTGTTCTTTTCTTTGTCTTTTGCTGTTTTCCTTTGTCATTTGATAATTTCATGTAGTGGTATGTTTCTTTCTATTTTGTGTATCTGCTATTTTCTTTAAATTTTATGTTTATCATAAGACTTAGAAAGCATCTTATATTTTTTTCTAAAAATTTTTTTTTCCAACGTTTATTTATTTTTGGGACAGAGAGAGACAGAGCATGAACGGGGGAGGGGCAGAGAGAGAGGGAGACACAGAATCAGAAACAGGCTCCAGGCTCTGAGCCATCAGCCCAGAGCCCGACGCGGGGCTCGAACTCACGGATCGCGAGATCGTGACCTGGCTGAAGTCGGACGCTTAACCGACTGCGCCACCCAGGCGCCCCGAAAGCATCTTATATTTTTAACCATCTATTTTAAGCTGATAACAACTTAATTTTGATTGCACAGAAAAACTCTGCTTTCACTCCCTCCCCTAGGCATTTTGTGATTGATGAAACCATTTACATCTTTTTATATGGTGTAGTCATAAGTTATTGTCATTATAATTATTTTTATTTTATTTTATTTATTTATTTAAAAAATTTTTTTTCCAACGTTTATTTATTTTTGGGACAGAGAGAGACAGAGCATGAACGGGGGAGGGGCAGAGAGAGAGGGAGACACAGAATCGGAAACAGGCTCCAGGCTCTGAGCTGTCAGCACAGAGCCCGATGCGGGGCTCGAACTCCCGGACCGCGAGATCATGACCTGGCTGAAGTCGGACGCTTAACCGACTGCGCTACCCAGGCGCCCCAATTATTTTTAATGATTTTGTCTTTTAATTTTTATACAAGAATTGAAAGTGATTTATGCACAACCATAACAGTATTTGAGTATTTTGTGTTTAACCATATACTTATCTGTACTAGTGAATTTTATATTCATAGGTTTTCAGGCTGCTGATTAGTGTTTTTTTGTTTTGTTTTGTTTTGTTTTGTTTTCATTTCAGCCTGAAGAACTCTCTTTGAAATTTCTTGTTTTTTTAATTTTTTTTTTAATTTTTAATGTTTATTTTTGAGAAGAAGACAGAGCACGAGTGGGGGAGGGGACAAAGAGAGAGAGGGAGACACAGAATCTGAAGCAGGCTCCAGGCTCTGAGCTGTCAGCACAGAGCCCAACGCGGGGCTTGAACTCACAAACTGTCAGATCATGACCTGAACCACAGTCGGACGCCTAACCGACTGAGCCACCCAGGCGCCCCCAAAGTTATTTATTTTTAATGTAACTCTCCCCCCGCAGTGTGGGGCTTGAACTCACGGCCCTGAGGTCAAGAGTCACAAGCTCCTCTGACTGAGCCAGCCAGGTGTCTCTAACTCACTGAGCTTCTTAAAGATGATTATTTTGAATTCTTCTGTCACCATCAGGAGGTGTCCCACGAGTCTCGGGAGGATGAGGCACGTACTAAGAGCCTCACACCCCCGCTATAACTAGCATGCACCAGCTGACAGCCAGGGAAGACAGCAGGCCAAGGTGAGATGGCAGAGACTCCTAGCCCATCCCAAACCGATCCTACAGACACTTATTGTGTGATTTATTGAGGTTTCACGGTTGGTTGTTATGCAGCATTAT